GAACAGCTTCTTACTCAAATGGCTAGCTTTGTCACATTGAAAGCAAAGTCCACAAGGAGCATCTTCAAGGCCCATCATCCTCCTGAAGCAATTGGTGCTGCCGGGAGCAGGTGTCTCTCACGGTCGAGAAACGTCTAAGATCTTTAACATTTTAAGTCCATATTCTGTAGGTCTCTGAAGGGTTTGAAGACTATCTATCCATTTGAAATATATCTCTGCATATCTAGAAAACCTAACTAAAAAGACTATAAGCTTGACACTAAAGATGAATATTAATTTGTATTTTTAACTATCTATTACATTTTAAAATTAACTACCTAAACATAATGCCTTAAATAAGAGTAGAGCACCAATAGTCTGAGTCTGAGGCATGGATCCATATAAGAAATAAAATAGCTAAAAAAAAAAAAAGGTTTCTAGACCCACAAAAATGGAAGCCAAGCACAGTTTCTTGGTAGCCACATTATTTTTTATTTTTTGGAATGGGCTCTGTTTGCTGGCAGCATGCTGCAACTCCTTTAAGGGAGGTCTCCTTGATTCAGCAGTAGCAGAAAAAACACTGTGCAGTTTTGAAATGAGAGCTTCCTGATCTGTGCTTCTAGCATAAGCTTTGACTCTTTCAGGAGGCCGAGCACTTGAATGGGGTTTGTGGGCAGCATGCTGCAAGTTAGTTGGTGGCAGCACGGGCCAACTGGGTACCAGAGTTGAGGTGGTGATCGTGGCTCTCACACATCAGTCTCACAGGTAGTGAACAGACCTCAGCCATGTTGTACTGGGCAGAGCTAAAAGGCAAAGGAGTTTTAGTCCTAGCCACGCCACTTAGCATTTTAAGAAGTGGTCCTAATCAGAAAAGGATTACCTATGTATAATAAAGACAAATTCAAATGAAAAAGACCTCTAAATGGGTCACAGTGTTTTTAAAAAATATACATAGGTGTGGGAAGAGAAGAAAATGAATATAAAAAGTTATAAAAAGAAGTAAATTGTTTTTTAAAAATAAAACAAAGTCTGTAAAGAGACAGAGTAAACATGTACAGAAAGTAATAAAGTAAGAAAAATAAACCAGACAAAGATGGAGTATACACAGAGAGCTTGAATTATGTATACTATTGTGTTTTCTTTAAATTGTTTCACTATGAAGGAGCTAAGTACAGAGAGACATTTCATTGTATGGGCTACTAAGCTAAACCAACATATATACTTTAAAGGTATCTTGACTTTAAAATTTGGGTCTAAGGATAAGTTGCTTTGGAAAAGAGGTTCTGCTTTTGTTTCCACAGAGGAAAGAACCTGTGGATTCCTTCCAGACTAAAGTGGTTTGTCCCCTGAAAGGTCACCATGAACACCCCCATAAATTACTTAGTCCACAAAAAGCAGAAAGTAGTTTGGAGAGAACTATGCCAAAATTCCCTAATATTGTTCATAAATATTGTTTACATTTAAAGGGGGATATTCTATAGGGATGGATACTTTGCATTGGTATGGATCTTGGTTTATTGATACAAATTTAAGGTCAATTTTGTTATATATATATACATTTGCTATATATATATATCAAATATATATATTTCTGCCCTTGATTAAAGTAGTATATTTGTACAGCTCCTTTAAAAATGTAATGTATAATTAAAATATAGGTAAATAGATATTCATCTATAATAGTCAAGCTTGTAGTCATGTTAGTTAGGTTTTCTAGATATATAAAAATATATTTCAGTTAGATAGGCATTCTTCAAATCTTTCAGAGACATTCAGAATATGGCATTTAAAATGTTTATGTGTTGAATAAAGAAACCACATTGACCTGTGATAGAGCAGAATGGAGCTAGGTGAGAAAACTAAACTGAATACTGGGAGAAAGTAGGCAGAGTCAGTGAGATGCCATATGGCTGCCAGAGGAGAAAGGCATGAGCTACCAGCTGGAACCTTGCTGATAGGCCACAAGTCTCATGGTCTAGGCATCCAGGAACAAATGACCAGCTTCCACCAACATAGAAATATACATATAGTATAGTAAATTTAATTTGTATCAATAAACCAAAGTTCATACCAATGTATTTTGAGATTATCAGTTATTTTTTGCATTAAAGTAGATTCAATAATCTACTCCTTTTTATTATTATAATAATATATCATTTCCCCATCATTTCTATATCATATCCCCCTATTTTCTTTAGAAAGAGATTGTCTATGACATTAATCAATTTTAACCAACCCCCCTTAAATGAAAATAAACATCTATAAGCAGTACTTTGAGAATTTAGTTGTAGACTACTTCCTGCTGATTGTTGAGTGCTGGTATGCTTATGGAGACCCTAAGAAAATTTAGAATTATGGTTACATCTTGGCTGCAGTAGTTTGTGAGGCTATGTCATCTTAGCCATTTGCCTTGAAACTGTTCAGGATATTGGATCACCATCAGCCTCATCAGAAACTCTTTTCCAAAGCAATACATCCTTAGATCCAAATTTTGAAGTCAAGATACCTTTAAAGGATATAAGTTGGTTTAACTTAGCAGCCTCACAATCAAATAACTCTCAGTAGTTAGTTCATTAGCAGCCAAAATGTTAAAAGAAAACACAATAATAAACATAATCTTGACTCTGCATATTATACATCTTTATATGACTTTTAAAATATTACTTTTAATGTCTCTTGAAAGACTTTTGTTTTTTTAAACTGTTTATTTATTTTTCTGACAGCCTACATCCATTTTGTTTCTTTCTTAAATCTACATACATTTTGAAACATACCATGACCCATTCAGAGGTTTCTTTTTGTCCAAATTTGTCTTTATTCCACATCTGTAATCAGTTTTGACTAGGAGAGTTTTTAAAATGCAAAGCAGTCATGGCTAGTACCAAAGCAGTGGCTTTGGCTGTTGGCTCCCCCGTGTTTGGCTTTCCAACATGGAAAGTTTCCGACTTTCCCTGCCAGCTCTGGGAACCATGCTCACCACGCCACTCTGGAAAGCAGTGAATCCATGCCTCCACCCCACAGCTTATAGCTACCCATGAAATTTTTCTGTCTGTATGAGTAAAAGCTAAACCTGCCATGCAGCACACTGTGTACCATGGTGAGAATCCACCATGTTGTACTTGAACTTTTTTCTCTTACCTCACTGAGAAATCTTCCAGACACTTCTAGGCCTGTAGGCTGAAGATGGGTACCCTAACATTACAGAAGAACTTTGGGTGACTGACCAAGCAGCCTGATGTCTCTGTCATTTCTAGAATTTTGGAAGTTGCTTACAATGCGCTTCCTGTTTACACAGGTAATATTATATACTTCTGGGGTCTTTGATGGAGTTGAAGACTAGATAGTTATAATTAAAGTTTTTCTTATTTATGATAAAAGATAAATTAGATATGAAATTTTAGACTCACAAAGATAGATCAGATGATAGAGTATTTTTCTTTAATTTTGCCAAATAAAAATAGACTAAATATCATAACTGTAATTCTTGATTGATACTTGTTTTGGTGTGTGTGATTTTACTCTGTCAAAGTTAAAACCTTTCCTTTTGGGCTGGAGAGATGGCTCAGAGGTTGAGATCACTGGCTGCTCTTCCAGAAGCCCTGAGTTCAATTCCCAGCAACCATGTAGTGGCTCACAATCATCTGTAATGCGATTTGGTACCCTCTTCTGGCATGGAGATGTACCTGCACAAGGAACATTGTATACATAATAAATAAATTAAAAAAGCAAAACCTTTCCTTTTATTAGACAGAAAAAGGGAGGCCTTTTTGATGTGGAATGTTCTTCTGTACACTGCAAATATGTTGCTTTTATTTGTTGATGGATAAGGCAGCTTTGACCTATGAGCATGGAGGAATGCAACTAGGTGGGAAATCCAGATATACAGGTGAAGAAGGACAAGGTTGAGAGAAGTCGGGGAGCTGCCGTAGCTAAGATGAACTAGAGAACAGGAAACAACACGAAGTCATGTGGTGATACATATAAGATTAGAAATGGGTTGATTTATATATAAGAGCTAGCTGGTAATAGCCCGAGCCATAGACCAAGCAATTGCAGTTAACATTAAGCTTCTGAATGATTATTTTATAAACAGCTCTGGGAACCAGCATGCCGGAGAGAAATCAGCCCAGTGGGATCAGGCAGGACACAGAAAACTTCCGGCTACAAGTTTTCATACTTTAGTGTTTCTCTGTTGAATATTATCTTTTTAGATTTCCATTTACATCTTTTATTAGAATTATTGTCAAGGTGATGCCTGCCACTCTCGTGCTTGGGAAGGGCTGGTACATTTGGTTGGCTCTGGGTCATCAAGTCTAGTGTTGCTTGCCTATGTTGCTAAGGTAATGTCTAAAGCAATTTTCCATTTGCATGTTCATGCACACATTCTGGGAACAGGGTTTCTGTCTCCTATTCTGAGGAATGCCCCAATAATCTGTGGCCATTGCCGCTTCAGAGACCAGGAACAGCCTGGAAATTATTTGAGATCTGGCTGTGCTTGCAGACTTGAGCTGACCTTGCTTACAAGGGAACAGAGGCTGTATGCATAGTGACCTCTCTAGCATGTCCAGCTGTTTTCTTGTCTTACTCTTAATGCCTTCTTTCTCATGATATAGATCATTGCCCCACCCTCAACCCAGGAACTTATAATACTCAGAACCTCAGAGTCTGGCTGGACTCCTTTCTTTGAGGAGCTGTTCTGATGTACACAGTGATTTGGGGCTTACCAACAGCTTTGATGAAGACATTGGCTCAGCAAAGACCAGTGAAAATGAAGCTGCGTAGGTGAAGGTCACACTTGAAATAGTCCTCTATACATTTCCAGACATCAAGCGTGAACGTAAGACCATGACATGCCAATATTCACCTGAGCTTGGTATCTTCCCATGGCAGGTAGCTGCAAGAAAGCTGTTCCTTCAGCCACCCTTGTTCTAGGTTTTTCCAAAACTAGTTTAACCTCAATCTGTTTCTGATTGCTCCAAGGAAGGACGTTCAGTATTGCCTTTTCTTTGAAAATCTTGTAGGATAGCATGAGACTTTCGATGCGCCTGCAGAGTGCCCTACTCCAGGCTCGGCCGGCATGCCATCTCAAGAACTGGCTAAGCAGAGGCCGTGTGGGTACGTGTGTTTTAAGCAGCAAGTATTCCTGGGCTGTGAGTATTTCAGTCCCTGTGAATTCCTAACAGAAGGGCAAACTGTTCCATTATCTTGTACAAATATTTGGCACTGGAATTCCCTTATTTACTAACTGTAAGCAATATAATATTTTTAAACCTGCAGTCGCTGTGGGAGGAAAAATAAACAACTGCCATAGAGATACTCCTCTCTGAAAGCTTGCAGGACTCAGGATTTGACAGGGAGAGACTGGAGTTTATCATTTATCATTCCGCGAACGCAGGCCTTTAATCAGACTTTTTGTTTGCTCAAAGAGCTGTTATGTAGCGTGGAGAAAAAGTCAAAGGGTCTGTGTTTTTAAAATATTAAAATGTCCAGTAAGGCATGTTGTACTTTGAAATTGACTTTATTTAGGAGAATTGTGTGAATTTTCCTAGATAAGCAATTTAGTCTTTCATGGTTAGGTTAGTTACAAAATAAGAGGGGAGAATACTTAAATAATTTTTTATAGTGTTATCACTTTTACTTTTTTTTAAAATCAGGAAGCATTCTCCTAGAGTTGGTGTTACTTGGCATATTTATTTTCTCACAATATTCATTTATTTTTCTCACAAACTATAGGTAAACAATGCAGTTTTGTCTCATTAGAAGAAACGTCCTTTCCAGTTGGTGTTATGGGGGAACCAGGGTGCATAGCAACTGCCTTATTTTTTGATGTTGTTTACAGGGGTTTGCCTTTTATTCATAGTCAACACCACATAGTTCTTACTGTAGAACTGAATGGGACAGAGCATGCTTTCACCAAAAGACAACGACCGTAATTAAAAGCATTCATTTTCTTCATCTCTCAATGTCCTACTATGTCTAGCTTGCCCAAAACATTGATTTTGTTGGTAAAGATTAGTTTTGTAATTCCATTAGGTTGACAAAAGTTAAAAACAAAAATGTTTAAGAAGTCAGCTTCCCTAATAATGAAATTACTTAGAAATATTTCCTTAAGCTGGGCGGTGGTGACATATGCCTTTAATCCCAGCACTCAAGAGACAGAGGCAGGTGAATGTCTGAGTTCAAGGCCAGCCTGGTCTACAAGAGCTAGGTCCAGGACAGATAGGACTGTTAGACAGAGTCTCAAAAAAAATCATTAAAAATACATGTTGCCTCCTTAGAAAGATTTTTTTTAAAGTATTGTTAGTAAAGATATAAAAGGAAATAAAATCACTTTCTTTTTTCAGTTTACTGCTTTGGACGCTCATCTGTCCTTTCTTATAAAAATGTGACATGTAAATAAAATGAATTAATTATATTGTCAGAAAGAAGCTAATCTGACCAAAGTAAAACTGTATGAAGAAAATAATATGGAGCCACTTTCTGATAAGATCTGTCAGTGATGTGTTAGAGCAGTTAAGGTTCTACCCATAACTCACCAGAGGTGACAAAGGAAAAAGGGATTTTTTTTTGGTCATTCTAAAAATGATATATTGGTAGGTTTTTATTTTTTCTGCAACGGGAAAGGAAAACAATGGATATACAGTGCTTGCAGGACATTCCTCCCTAGTTTAAAGGCAAAAATACATGTGCATGCACATAAACATGTACACACACAACCTACATACACATGGAAGAAAGGAAGATTCAGAATGGAGAGGAGACTGTGGAATACTGCTATCTCAATGTAACACATGACTCACTGAACATTTCAGTGTGAATGGAGAGGGACCATGGAGGAATTGGAAGGGGAAAGGCAGGAGGTAGAAATGATCAAAATACACTGTCTATGTGTATGAAATTCTCAAAGAATAAAGTTAAAATATCATTTAATTAAAAAGAATCTCTAACTTCATAATTTTTGAGTAGTAAATTGTATTAATATATGTAGCAATACTATATGTTTTGTAAATGTATGCACATGTTAATGTGTGTTTATACAAACATATCTGTGTATAAATATGCTAGACTTTTTACCTCGGTTTTGATATATATGATTGGATTATACCCATATGTGGATATATTTCTTCAGTAAATAAATTCAAGTCTCAGAATAAAGTTACCTTTATTATAGCATCTTAAGCTTCTTAATTTTGTCATTGAGGCAAGCTATTGTAGAAGATAATCTCATACTGATTTAGATAGAATGGGCATATGGTTTTAAGGAACAATATTTCAGAAGACACCACGATTTCTTGTCGAGGTCAAGGTCATAAATCACATTTAAGTACCTACTTTGTGTGTTTTACTAAACCGCTCCTATTTTGAACTACTGAAGGCAATAACTAAAGGAAAATCGTAACCCGAGCATTTTGGAAAGTTTCCTCATGCCACTCAAAGCGTTTGACTCTAACAGCCCTAAAATATATTTCATGTACCGACACTTTTCAGTATTTTACAATGACTTCTGTTAGAATTAATTCATCAGTGTAAAACACACCTAAAGCCCTCCGGTTTCTACGGTTCTCCTGGCCCCGAGGCTGCAGAGAGAGATATCTGCTTTAAATTTTTGTCCTCCCTCCTATGAGCGTGCTCTGTGGTCATAATTTAGAGAGTTAATTTAGTGCTAAAAGCCTTATGAAATATAGAAGTCCTTTACCCCTGCCATTTCCCACCCCCAAAGGCAACTGCTATCAATTGTGTCTCTGCAGATTCCTCTGTCGTTTACCTCTCTTCCTCTAAATCACAGTTTTATGTAACTTTCCTCATTCTTCCAGCCTTAGTCTTAAGTACTGTACACGGACATGAGTAGAAGACGAATGCCTGGTCCTTTCATGCCCACCATTGCTATATTTCCTCTCCTTAACACCAGTGTAGTACAGCTTTCGTTAGGTCAGTTTACAAGACGAGAACTATGGAAAATCTATTGACAACTGGGCCACAGAAAATAAGGCTTTCGTTCTGAAATAATGTTTTGTCAAAATGAATAACTTAGTTTCTTATTATAATCTTTTTTTTAATTTATAAAAGTTTATTAATTTTTAAAAGTTTCCATTTCCGCCCCTCCTCCCAACACCCTCCCACTCCCCCTACTCCCTCTCCTCCTCCCTCTCCATCTCTAAGAGCAGTCAGGGTTTCCTGCCCTGTGGGAAGTTCAAGTTCCTCCCCCCTCCCTCCAGGTCCAGGAAGGTGAGCATCCAAACAGACTGGATCCCAAAAATCCAGTATATGCAGAGGAAACAAGTCCCAGTGTCATTGTCAATGGCTTTTCAGAAAGACCCCGGGCCAGCCACATTCAGAGAATCTGGTTGGATCATGTGCTCGTTCAGTCCCAGTCCAACTGGCCTTGGTGAACTCTCATTAGATCAGTTCCCTTGTATCAGTGGGTGAACGCACTCTTATTATAAACTTACACAATCATAATTCCTTCTGGGATCATTTTTCTCCACCTATTGTGGACATACTCATACCTATTGAAATGTATTGTACCATTTAGTTTTTCAGGCCTCTGACTGTTCTCAACCGGCTCCTGGTTAGGTCTGTAGACGCTGCAGCCTTTCATCAGATCTTTTATCTCTCCGGCATCTCATGTGCCATCCCTTAGTTTAAATACCTTTCCCTGACTTTTACCTCACTCCTTTCTGTTTATTCTCTCAGTTCCCGCCATGCTTTCCTGAAAAGCAGACAGAAGAGATCTTTTTTAATGTGCATGACTGGACATGGCTCTTTAAATGCTCGTTCAAACATGAATTTTGGAGGGTGAAGAGTTACAGCTTGGAAATCATCTTTTTGTCAGAAGTTTGGAGATCTTTTCCACTACCCTTTAGCTTAACATGTTGCGTTCATGCTTTTGATTGAGTTTCAAACTCTGTAGAAAGGTGTCCAGACCTTCAGACCTGTGTCTGTTGTCCCTGCTGTCTCCTGGTGGACGGCTATCTTAGTATCTCTGTGGCCTCTTCGTCTTTCTGGTGGAGATGGGGTAGTCACCCAGCTGTGCAGTATCAGGGGAGGAGACAGTAAAGGATTCAATGTTTCCTTAAATGAGCTTTTGATAAATCTTTTTCAGAACCAACCACCCCTGCAAGTGGATTCGGCTGCTAGTACTCAACTGGGTTCAAGTTGTTCTGAGATTTTTCCCCTCTATCCTTTAACTTTTTCAGAATCGCAAATACACTTACTATTCTTCTTCCATGTCATTTCATGTTTTGTTTCCTCTGGGATGATACCTTTGTTATTATTTTAGTGACATTGTGAGAGACAGAACAGACAGACAGGCACACACGTGCATGATCTGTTTACGTTAAGATGGGATCCTAATGAAGGGGATATCAGGGAGCCAGGCCATTTCTGTAAATAATTGACTCTGTAGTAAACTCAGGGATTTGCTAGTGCTGTAATCTTTAAAAGGGGTTGGCTATGCGAACTTCTGCTTCTACTGAGGGATAAATCCACCCGCAAGTCACCAAGGACTTAAATATATCTGGCCTTCACCCTTGCCGTTTTCCACTCCGAAATGTCAGAATGCCACACCTTTCCCTTCCTCTTCAGAAACTTCCAGTGGACAAAGGCTAGTCACGGACGCCAAGCTGCTTAGCTGTGGGCAGACCTAGTTATTTTTAAATAGCAAACGTGTTGGTTTCAAGGCATGACAGAAAGAACTTGACTTCCCCATCCTCGCACCATCATGCTGTAGTTTCCCAACACAGACACTTGGACAAGTTCCAGCTCTATTGTCTCCAGACAGATATTTTACTGATGATTTTTATAGAGAATCGTTGAAATTATATTCTTGTTGTGGGGAGGGCACTCATAGAGTCCAAAGGATGAACGGTATTTTACATGATCACCTTCTAGTGATAATTCCATAATGACAACAGTGCTCCACTGGCCATGTGCCAGGAGGTGAGCCTACTCATTTTAAACATAATAGAGTCTATTCTGTGATTAAGAGCGGCTACCATTATTTTAGGGCGTGGTTGGAATGCAAGGGCACATTATGTCATTGAATCCTGAGCATGGTCCTGCTAAGCAATTCTCATTCCATGAAATAGGAAGCAGTCTTAGTGGTTTATGGAAGACCGTCAAGCTATTAGTTAAATTAGCCAGAAACTGA